GCTGCAAGAATAAAAAACCTATTGGGGGGGGGGGGTTAGGAAATATTAGAGTATGGCCACCCTTGAAGAGGTAAGCTTGCAGAATAATCTTCCTCATCTGACACACTCCTGAGTATTGAACCAGTGAGATCTACATAACAACCAGGCAACTAGGATTCTTAGAAGAAGGTTTCAGAATATCAGCCTCCGTATTCAGCCAGTGCAGTTTTTATAAGGACCTGACTAATGCATGTTACGTATTGAGTATATCAGACAGCAAAAGTGGAGGAATTACATAAAACAGCTGCAACTTGCTTGTTTAAGCTGCATGTTTTACAAGTACATTGTGGGTAATCTGACGGTTGGTAGACACTTGTTTACATTACCAACAACTGCAAATTGGTTTTGCCTTAGTCTAATTTGCAAGGCTGTCACTATATATTCACACAGAGCACACGTGTGATAATGTGTAATACTGGATTTGTGCTAATATTTGACTTGTGAAACCTTGAAGAGTTACAAAGCAGATCTTTTTAGCATGAAATTAAATCTTCTATGAATTGGACATAGAAGGCTTGATAATTGTAAGGAAGCCACAGTTGGCATTATTACGCTTTTTCTGTATTTTATATATAGTTACTATGTAGACTTGAAGAAGGGACCCTGCGTGCCCCCGCAACGTTGGCTATATGACAGTTGTGACATATCACTTCAATAAATTGGCATAAAGATTCATTGCTTCTACTTGTGTGCTGGTGATCTTCATCCTCCACAAGTTTGATACTCAGGGCGTCATCCATGATTATCACTGCAAGCACCACGATTGTTAATGACGGTCCAATCGCTGTAAGCAGTGCAGGGGACACATCTGGGCGCTACAGAATTTTATTTCTGACTGTTACCTTGTAGGAGAAAAATAGGACAGGAAAAAGTAGAGGGAAACTCCCCAACAGGACACAGACAGCAATATAAGCCTGATTTAGAAGTTCTAACCGTTCCCCCGCTGTCCAAAACAAAATAAAAAATTGGATGAAGTTTAAGGAAAGAAAAGGTAAGTGAAGCTTTGTTGCATTGAAACTGAACTCTAGGCAGATATAAAAGACGCACACGGGCGTAGCTAGAAATCACAGGGCCCGTAGCAAAATGTTGTTCCCTGTCCTGGCCGGGGCCCCCCCTGTGCCCTTGGCCCCATAGCGGCCTCCTGGGTCGCTATGGCGATAGTTCCACCACTGGATGCGGCTCTGCATTTATTAATATATCATGAAATTCTTTTTTTTTAATTTATTTTTTATTAAGTACATGAATTTAACCAGGAATCGTCCTTTTGCAGTCTTTTTACAGCATAGCTGGAGTGTGAGGGGAAGAAACAGTACAAGGAGTAAGTCAGTTCATGTTTTGCCAAAAAACATGCCAATAGGAGAAAGCAGAATGACGAGAGATGAGCTCATCACTGTGATGTTTTCCTTTCACTTTCCACTCATATGCTTGGACGGGTCCAGGATGACCTGGGCTCAGAGAAAGTGGGCTACATGATGCTGGCCCTCAGACTGAGAACATCTGGTGGCAGACTAAAAGTACTCTGGGGGAAATCTCTGGATTGGAGGTGAATATTACAGCAAAAGCTGGTAGTGTTATCTTCTCTTTTAATATGCTATTCATTTTATCCTGTTATTTCTTGCCTAGAGTTTGGCTTTCAGATTAGAGTAAGGAGAAATATAGAAGAGTTTACTATTCCGGAGCAGTTACTTATTTTAGACACAAAATTGCTGATTTCTGAAGTTAACATTTAATGTGCATGGAGTTACTTTCAGGTTTAGCAGTCAACTTGTAAGTTT